TCGGGGCGGGTTGCGGCCGGTGCCTTAGTTTCCCCATCCGCAGCAGGGGCCGAGGTGTGTGGGGGGAGGGGCGGGCAGCAGTGGGCCGGAGCCCCCCGGCGGTGCTGGGCGCTGTGGAGGTGGCTCCGTGCTGCCCTCCCAGCAGTTAGCAGAGGGGGAGCGAGGCACGGGGCTGCGGTCAGGTCCCGGGAAGGCGCGGCACTGCCTTAGGCACTGGGGCCGGGCCGGTCCTTTTAAGCTCAGCAGGCATCTGGAGTGCACGGGTGGTGAGTGCCAGCTGTGCCCTGGGGCGTCGGGCAGTGCCACATCTGGGCCCCAGGGCTGCCCATGTGCGGAGGGGACCTGAGACCGCGGGTTGTCCTGGGGGCTCATCCCTGCCTGCTGCTTGTGCCGGCAAATTGTGCCCTGCAGTGTCCACAGGAGGGCACGGGGGTCCTGGTATGTTCAGGCAGCTTGGAGGGCCTGTGTGCGTGCATGGGCCAAGGTGTGTGTGTGTATGTGTATTTGCATGCATGTGTAAGAGTGTGTACATGTATGTGTGTGTGTGTGCATGCCCAGGCATGTGCGTGTACACTCACGGGCACTTGTATGCGCATAGGGGTGCATGCATGTGTGTGGGGCACAGGCATGTGTGCATGGGTCCACAGGCATGCACGTGTGCACGCATGTGCACAGGTGTGCGCCCATTGGCAGGCCCCTGCCCTGACTTTCATGCCCCCCAGTCAGTGGGGTTCCCTGTGTCCAGGGACCCACCCTGTGGGTGCTGGGCTGGCCCTGTTGCTCTGGGGCCTGTGTTGGGGTCAGGGGCCCAGGTCCGGTGTTGTCCTTGGGGGGAGGGTCATGGAGCCACAGGGACATTCCGGGAATGGGTGGCCGTGGCTGGAACAGAATGAGTCAGCTGGGTTGGGAGCACGAGGGCAGGAAGCGCCTGGAGCTGCAGCACTGGTGGGAGAAGGGGGGCCTGCTGTGCCCACTGCTCTTGCAGGATGGTGGGAAGAAACTTGAGCTGCCTGGCTCTTTTTATCTGGCTTGGGCAGGGGGGCCACCCCAGCACCACCCCTCATGCAGCTGGAGGCTGGGGCACCCAGGCCCATTCCTGGCAGCGCTACCATTGGCCTCAAAGGTCCCACTGACCCTGCCACTCTTGCAGGGCTGAAGACGGGTGCCACGCTGAGGATGAGAGACGCCCCTGTGGCAGTGAAGGCTCCTGGCAGCTAAGGGCAGGGCTGTGGAGGGCGCCTAGAGCCGACTGCGGGGGGCTCAGCAGCAGAAGAGATTTCCAGCTTGCTGGGAGCTGCCCACCTTCCCTCTGGAGCCATGCCTGTGTGGCTGGGCCCTGGGGCTAACCCGGAGCAGATGGCATGGAGCCCCGGTGCTGGCGTGGCTGTGAAGCGCTCTCCAACAGGCTTGGAGGTGAAGCTGGGGTCGCTGGTGACGCTGCTGCTGCTGACTGTCGTCTGTGGCCTGGCCCCACTCTGCATCTTCCGGCACCCCGGTAGTGCAGCCGGCTCCTCTGGTGAGGCTTGTGCCAGAGCTCCTGGGGGGCCAGAAGTCTCCAGGACAAGGCCTGTCTGGCGGGCAGGGGGTATGACTGCGGTCAGGAACCAGGCCATGATTTCACTGCCTGGGCCTCCAGGGAAACCATGTCTGGCTGCCAAGCCCAAGAGACAGGCATGGTGGCTCAGGGTCCTGGTAGCTGGGGCTGGTCCTGAGCCAGCCCCCATGCCTGTGGCTGCAGCACAGAGGTCCCAGCAGAGCAGCACCTGGCCCCTGCTGGCAGGAAGGGCTCTTGGTGCATGGGGAGCTAGATGAGCCCTAAGGGATTGGCCCCTGTGCCCTGAAGGAAACCAGGGCTAGGCTGTTGGCCCAGGGGCCTCAGGCTCTGGACCCTGTGAACCAGGGTTCCTCTAGGTCATGACTCTGGACAGAGCGGGTTTGGGAACGCTGGGTGCTCTTGAGAGTAGGGCCCCATCCTGCTAGTGCTTACTGGGCAGAGCCAGCCCTGGCCCCGGCACGGGACCTGCCCCCAGCAGGAGCACCGCTCCCATTACACGGACAGGGAGCAAGGCCTGGGAGTGGGGGAGGGAGTGATGTGACCCAGGTCATGCAGAGTCAGCAGCAGAACCTGGCCCGTACCCCGGGGTGCAGTGGGGTTGTGTGTTGGGTTTCCCTGCCTGGGGTCACCCCCCTGCCCGCAGCATGTGCTGTGCCAGGCATCACTAGGGAAAGGAGGCACCACTTTGCACCCAGGCTGTGGATGCATGGCCTGTGTTCTGGGTAACACTGGGCTGGGGCATTTCCCCTGGCCCTGGGGGCAGGTGAAGGGTGCAGGCCCTTGAAGCTCTGCAGCCAGATCCCTGGCCAGGGACCTCACTGCTGGCTGCCTCAGGGGTGGGGGCAGTGAACTGTGTCAGCATCCCCCCGCAACCCTTTTCTGGACAGACGCACGCAGGAGGTTCCTGAGCCTGGTGAGCTGCTTTGCGGGTGGTGTGTTTCTGGCCACCTGCCTCCTGGACCTGATCCCCGACTACCTGGAGGGCATTGATGAGGCGCTGGAGAACCTGAGAGTCACGGTGAGCCTGTGCGGAGCAGCTTCCCCCTTCCCTGCACCTGGGCTATCTGTGTTGGGGCAGTGTGTGTGGGGTGGGGGGCTCCCAGGGGCATGGAGGACCCTGGGCAGGGGTTGGCAGGGCAGGAAAGGGGCCGAAGGCTGCCCTGGGGACGGCTGTCGGCTCCAGCTTGCTGCCTGACTGGGTGCGATCCGTGGTGGAGGCTGGGAGGCCCTGTTCCAGCCGCTCTCCAGGGTGACTCACTGGAGCTGCCTCCCGCCCCCGCCCTTCTCCCAGCAGCTTCCTGGCAGCCCCGGGCGGCCTCTGCTTCTCAGCAGTGATGCATTGGCTGCTCCAGCCCCTCTGCTCCCCCTTCCCTGTGCAGGGGCTGCTGCAAGGGCTGAGCCATGCTCCCCCTGCTGATGTGGCTCCTACCCCTTCCCTCGCAGCTCCAGTTCCCCCTGCAGGAATTCATCCTGGCCATGGGCTTCTTCCTGGTGCTGGTGATGGAGCAGATCGTGCTGGCCTACAGGGACCAGGCAGGCTCCCTGGAGGAAACACAGGCGCTGCTGGGGGGCTCGTCGCAAGATGGCTCTGTGCAGGCCCAGCCCTGGTCAGATGGGCCCCTGCGCTCAGCGCATGGCCCTGGCCCTGGCCCTGACCGGCCCCACGTGCACATCGACTTCAACGCGCACTCAGCCATCCGGTCCTTCGCGCTGGTGCTGGCACTCTCGCTGCACTCAGTCTTTGAGGGTCTGGCCGTGGGGCTGCAGGAGGCTGGTGCCAAGGCCCTCGAGATCTGCCTGGCATTGCTGGTCCACAAGTGCATTGTGGCCTTCAGCCTCTCGCTGAAGCTGCTACAAGGCCAGCTGCACCCGCGCGCCGTGGTCAGCTGCCTGCTGCTCTTCGCCCTAATGTCCCCACTGGGCATTGGGCTGGGCGTGGCACTGACGGAGACAGCGGCCGCACTGCCACAGCTCTCACGCAGCGTGCTGGAGGGGCTGGCAGCCGGCACCTTCGTCTACATCACCTTCCTGGAGATCCTGCCCCATGAGCTCGGCTCCCCGGAGCAGCGCATCCTCAAGGTCATCCTGCTCATCGCCGGCTTTGCCCTTGTCACCGGCATCCTCTTCATCAAGATCTGACTGGAGGGTCCTGTGGGTAGTGCACACAGCTCGTTGCAGCACCAAGGGTTGGGGGTGCAGCCAGCTGTGTGTGTGCGCGTGCGATGGGGTTGCAGGGAGCCTACGTCACCTGTCCTGTGGCTTGGGAATCCCCTCCCCGCTGACTCCCATGGGCAGGGGATTCCCAAGCCAGGGCCACAGACCCAGGGTCGGGCCATTCACTGGCCCATCACCCCCTGCCTGCAGTGGGGGATCACCCCGGGGGCTCAGGGGCCTGCCCCTGCAGCGTGCAGGCCAGACCCAGTGCCCCCAGGGCCAGAGCAGCCCTGGTCACAGCAGCACTCCAGAGTCTGGTGCGCGCTGTGGGCTTGGCCCAGCCACCCCTGTACCCTTCGTGTTTAAGTGCCAAACTTCCCTCGCCCTTCCCAAAGCTGCGGACCATG